CATCTGTGAATCACTCTTCTGCTCTCCCCCCCCCCCCCCCCCACGGCTTTTGTGATTTTGATGTTCCTCCCCTCCGTGAAACCCGAAGTCAGTTAAAGGTCTAATTATGACTATCCTAAAACCCTCATTTGATATAAATTAATAAGTATTCAATACTTTCACGTAATTTTCGTAGACTTGTAGGCAGTTATGATGCCCTTCGTGGAGGCACAACCTCAGAGGGTATGGAAGATTTCACTGGGGGGATGTCGGAGATGATCGAACTGGGCAATTCTGCACCCGAGAATCTCTTCAACATCATGAATCGCGCTCACGCCAGATGCTCCCTTCTCGCGTGCTCCATTGATGCCAGTCCGGAAGAGTTAGAAGCCGAAGGACCCCTTGGTCTAATTAAGGGACACGCGTACTCAATCACTGATGTTCGAGTTGTAAGTCAATTGTTTAAAATGTGAGTGGTATGCCTACCATCAGTAAGTTCAACTAAATTGACCTATCAGTTGGCATCTGTAAACTCCGTTATCTGGAATATTTTGCCTTGAACTACTTACAATTTTGTCAGACGCTAGGTATTCAACTCGTTATTGATCACTCCTTTTTTGGTTCTTGTAGTTCAATCTCAACGTAAGTTGTCACGCAACTGCACCCACTTGTTGTTGCATCAATTTATGCATTTATGTATGCTGATCCACACCTTGAACGTTTAATACGACGGATTTCGATGGGGATTCGTTGTATTTTGGTTGGGAAATTCTTTCTGTTGCATGGTTGCTCTTATTCGACATTTTTCCACATTTTATTATTTTTGTCAGTAGTACTCCTAGTGAAAGCTTGTTAACGAATAAAGTTGATAGCAGCCTAAAATGATACGCGGTAGCTGCGTATCTTTGGTCAGAAGTGACACAAAAAGCTTTTGAATTACCGAAAACCCACTCATTCTTGCTTGTGTTTTAGTAGTGTCAAAGCCTAGCTTGGCCACATTTCAAGCTTTCTAAGCTTAAACTTTAGGTGGTTTTCATAGACGGTAATAAAATATAAATATTTATGAGTAATTATTCAACTAAGATCGTTATAAATTTATTGATTTGCCTTTGCTTTGCAGCACCTTGATTGATTGTTTTGCGCTTTTTTGTTCCACGTATTCTTTTGTCTTTTACGCTCATTCAAGAATGTACCTTGAGTTTTCCACTGCTGAAAGTCATTTATTTAGCTAATAAACACATTTTACTGGAAGTTTTTCAGTAGCTCTTTTTTACTTTGTTGACAATCTGTCTCCTATTTATTCCAGTTCCGGGAGTTGAAAGGTACCCATGTTCAAATGGTTCGATTGAGGAATCCCTGGGGTAACGATCGGGAATGGTCAGGCCCTTGGAGTGACAAATCGGGGGAATGGTCTCGTATCTCCACAGAAGAGAGAATGCGAATTGGCTTGACATTTGAGAACGATGGCGAATTCTGGATGGCTTTTGAGGACTTTAAGCGTTACTTCAGTCGTCTCGAAATGTGCCACTTGAGCCCGGAGTTCGAGGACATAGAAACAAAGGGGGATAGAAAGAAAACGAAGTGGGAAATGACAAGACATGAGGGTGAATGGCTGAGAAATTCTACTGCTGGTGGATGTTTGAACAATCGAGGTTTGTTTTTCTTTGTAATGCTTGTTCTAACAGGTTTGAACGGATTTATTTCAGCACTCTATTTCATGACACCGTCTGGCATTATCAATCCTTTCAATGCCTGGTTTAATATTGATGAATGTATTACTTTACTTATCACCATATTATGGGTATTTTATTAAGTCCATTTAAATGGACGTTATCTCCCGTTGGAACTTTGGCGTTGGCGAACGCAACTGCTGTAGCTTCTGTTGCCCCNTTGCCCCCCCCCCCCCCCCCACCTCCTCCTCCTCCTTTGCCTTAAGATCTTGAGAGATTTTGAAATGGTTTTGGTGGTGAAAATCGCAGGGCTCTTGTTTTTCAAAAGCGCAGGTTTTCTTTCGTTTACGACTTTTTTACTGGAATTCTGTTCAACTTTATTGGATTACTAAAGGTAGCATACGCCACTTCTATAATTATTAATTATAAATCAAGTAATAAATCGAAAATTTGTGGAGATTTTTGCTTATGGAATGTTTTATCATTTTTATTCATTTTGAGTCTGATTACTTTCCTGTAGACACTTTCCACATGAACCCACAGATTAGGGTTTCAGTGGTGGATCCAGACGAAGATGACGATGATCCAACTGGAACAATTGTCGTTGGCTTAATGCAGAAAGGAATGCGTGAGAGACGTCAGAACCCATTCTCCATCGGCTACTGCATTTACCCCGTAAAATTTTATTTGCTTTCACTTACACTATTTAAAATTTCCCAATCATTCTAATTTGCCTTTGGTCTCCAATTTAGTTCCCAAAAAATGCGCCCCCAAATGCCTTACTCACAAAAGAGTTCTTTCGTCGTACTCAGATGTCAGCTAGATCCATTTTCGCAAATACGAGAGAGGTTTGTGGTCGTCACAAACTTTTACCGGGCGATTATGTCATTGTGCCTTCAACCTTCCAACCTAACGAAGAGGCCAAATTTCTTCTGAGAATCTTCTCTGAGCGACCGTATACCGCTAGGTACGTGATCCAAGTTGCGGAACGGTCATTAGGAGTTAATATTTTTCATAATGAAAAGCCCCCTTATTCCATTCATTTCAATGTACAACCGATTGTATGCTTTAGATTGATGATGATGAAGATGACCTGTTTTTTATTTCATGCAAAAGTAAAGTTGCTATTTCTTTGCATGATCTAAACGCCTATAAATAAAATCGATGACACTTTGAGCGCCTGGGTGAATATCGTTAGCTCTTACTCTAATATCGGGTAAACATGGTACTAGTACTCTTGCAATATATTTATTTCAAATGACAGGCGTTATGATAGGTATCATTAGCCCTTTAGTTGACTTCGGGCTTCACAGAAAGGAAGATGAACATCCAAGTGGTAAAAAGTCGAGAGGGGGACAGAATAATGATTCACAGACGTAAGAGACAGACAGACACAAAGGTAGAAAAAAGGTGAGGTGAATACTGTGGAATTATTCGAATATGAATTGTAATGGGGTCATGGTAGTTTGAAGTCAGAAGTCAACTGCCGATTAATTGAATTTTTTTGCCGTATGAGTATACGTTGCCCAGGGTGCACCACGTGGAGGTAAGTCTATCGCACACCCTCCCCTCTTGCAATATATTAGTTACTATTAATTCGGAGGTCAAAAAGAATTATTTTCAATTTAGTAAAAATAATCAACCATAGTTCCCTCTTTTCTGTCAAATTCTTTTTTTAAATTGTTAGTGAATTGGACGATCAGATCGCTTGTGGTGTGGACCCAATAGCAGTAAGTCTCGATTTACTTAAAAGCATAGGAAGTGGCACATATGTTTTCTCCTATTTTTCCTCGTAGCCTATACCATCAATGCCGAAAGATGATGAGATGATTGCCAAATTGAGATCAGCTTTCGATGCAATCGCTGGCGAATCTAGTGATATTGAGGCAGAAGATTTGAGGAACATCCTCAACAGAGTCTTTGAGAAGAAGGGTATGTTTGGCCTATTACAAAAACATATTATTTCCAAGCTGGGTGGCCATAGGTTTGCTTAAAATTGAGTTAATTGGTGAATTTCAATGAAATTTTACAGTAAAACTATGTAATTTAAACATTGAATTTGCAATCTAATCAACGAATTCTTCAAAGGATCGCCTTTGGGAGATCCTTGCACTTCATTTCGCCTGAGTAAATTATACAAATCGATAGTCAGTTTTATCAACTTGCCTATTAGAAATGGTGCTGAAAGGTTATTTTCGACGAATACTTGGTCTTTTAGGCCGTAGAGTTCTTCACTGATGTGCTCTTTTTTGAAGGTTTTTTGTTCAATTTATTATGAGGTCCTGAAAATTTCAAACGCCCGTTGTACTGGAGATACGTTACTGATGAAAGTTTTGCATGATTGATTTTCTCTACTCCATGATATTTTGGAAAGACAAATCGAGTTGTTTTCAAGGATTGAAAAAGATATTCTATTTAAACTTGAGATTGGCAAACTTAACTGCTTGCTGCGTTCCAAATAGTATATGGAGGGGCTTGCCATTCCACTAAATGCTCCCTACCGATTCTCCTGAGTAGTTAGTAAATTTCGTTCACAAAGTGAAGTAGTACGTGTATTGCAACTATTAAATGGGCATATTGCCATATTGCGTAAAAATACCGCCTCTACTGGAAAGATCTTCAAATCCTCACCGAAGAAGCACTTGTATTCTCCCTTATTCCTCTCATTCGTCGGCTTATTCCTTCTTTCCTTCTCTTCTAGTCGGTGAATCATTCGAAGGCTTTAGTTTGGAGACCGCGAGAAGCATGGTCGCGCTTATGGACGCAAGTTTTTTGTTACTATTACATTGTCACTGTTTTCCTTCATGGCTTCCCGTTCTATCCTTAACCGTTGTACCTTTCAGGTTGACACCAGTGGAACTCTTGGATTTGAGGAATTCAAAACTCTTTGGTATGAACTCCGTCTATGGTTGGTTAGTGAACTACTTACTATACTATTTAAACAGCTTGACACTCTCTACAGACGCATGTTAAATGTGCTTGTACCACTTTCCCTTTAAAGACCATATTTAAAGAAGCAGACTCTGAGAACTCTGGCCAACTTCGAACCTATGATCTTCGTACTGTCCTCAGTGACGCCGGAATTAGTATAAGCAATGAGATTTTCAAAGCAATTGTCTGTCGATATGCCCACAATGGTGTCATTTTATTTGATGACTTCATCCTCCTTCTTGTACGTTTGATCACCGTTTTCGGCAAGTTTAAGGAGAATCTGGATCGTCGTGGAGGAAATAGAGCCACCTTCAATGTTGATGTGGTAGGTTTCAACGCATAACAGGTATTGTGTAATATCGGTAAACTGAAAGCGCTAAGTAAAAAGGGGCGGATATGATAAGAACCACTTCGTTTATTTAAAGGACACCGTTTTACGTGTGTATTAGGATATAATGGGTCTCTAATGTGGTTACCTGAGTACTGGCGCTAATCAACACAGTCTATAAACTGTACAAATCAATGTTAGCTCCAGTCGCGCACTCAGTGCTCATCCGCTCTTAAGCTCGTCCTTTTGTCTCTCATTACCCAACCCGCAATCTTTTATTCAAATCGATAATCTAGTCCAAGTGAGTACTAGTGGACAATCAAAGCAAGGCACACCTTGATTTTAAAAGACAGTGATACAAAATGGGAATGACCCTTTGGAAACTACGCCCATAATGGTCTGAATGCCTTATCCGGATCACTTTCTTTTTATTGCGGGGAATTACAAGTGTTTTGGACAGGTAGTCACCATATCCATATTCGGCGCGTCTGGATGTCACAAGGAGGAAGGTAATATAATGGACTAGATTACTAACAACCTACATAGCCGTACCACCATTTTAAAGTCGACCGCTCCTCGATTGCATACTTATAATTGGTTAATTTTTTATTCAGTTCTTGCGATGCGTCCTCTACACCTGAACGCCTTCGAGTATTTCAACAATTCCTCTTCTTGTCTGACCTAACTACTTTATATATTATTTCTCTCTCTCTTCAATATATCTCTTTTCAATACCTTATCTGTTGTTTAAATGCAACATATCCGTATGGGAAGTGCACTTAGGTTTGTGAGTAAGCTTTCTATCATTAGAAGCATTTTCTATTATTTTCACCTACATTTTATAAATCGTACAAAATCTAGCGGATTTTAGTTAAGTTCAATCATAAGTAGTCCTGAAATGCCTGGATGACGAAGGTTGCAAACTTTCGAAGGGTTTCAGTAGATTTTCTCGAAGCTCTTCTACCGCAGACCCATTAGTCAAGACGTAGAATAGCCGAATTACCTCTTTAGTCATTTCATTTCGATGTAATTCCGAATAGAGGATTTCAAGGTCGTCAAGGAATTCATTCAATGATTCGTCAAAGTTGAGACATTTGAGGGGCTCGTAACGTTCAGCGAAGGAGATCAGTGCCTACGAATTAAGAAACAGGCGCTACTTCGGTGACGATTCCAACAGGATATAAAGAAGGGGCTAAAAACTCCTACCGATTGATCCGGGACTCGGTCTAGTCCACCACCTTTAAGGCCATGTCTAGCCGCTTTCATAACTGCGAAAGCCGAGATTTTGGCTTCTTTAGCGAAGTACAAACTAGAGCTTAAGTTCTTATTCAAGACCTGACTCTCATCCAACGCTCTCATAATTGACATTAGATCTAACTGGGAGTTGTCTTGAAGTACGCGAACGGTGCATTTAAGGAGAAGTTTTATTGCAATGTGGTAACAGAATTGGACATGATGAGTTGCGTTGTAAATGTTGCCGCTGACCGAATCTTGCTGATCATCTGAACTCAGGAAATTAAGAGCGGTGGACAGTATCAGAGAGATTTCTTGAGAATTCGGTTGAGGGTATTGATTACTAAATGGCAGTAGCATTGTCATTCCTGCATGTGCGCGAACCTAAATAAGAATGGGACAGAGGATTGCATAATATTTAAAGTGACGCCAAAACGTTAATATGCAAACTTGTTGCAATGGAACATATTGTTGCGGCAGAATAAATTAGTAATTTTTATTACCGAGTAAACCAACTAGTCAAAAAAGTTTAAAGATTTAGTGGTAAGTTTAAATTAAGTGTAGATATCAATACTTATTATACAAACCTGCGAAATTTATCAAGTGAACTAATATCTCTTACGAAATATCAATAAGGTAGAGTGTTATAATTGAATTACCTTGAAATAGGGGTCCTTGACAAATTTTTCGCTAATAATTTGTAAAATTGAACTTCTCTGAGACAAATTCATTAATCTAGCTGTCGATAGCACTGCATTCCAACGAATTTTAGCCGCTCCCGAATGTACCGAGATCTGCACATATTCATCCAAAACTTTGATAAAATTTGAAATCTGTTCAGCATCAGTAATTTTTCTCAAATATATGATATTTGCAAGACTATGAATAATATGCTCGCATCTTCGACAATCCAATTGAGTCCAATTAGAAATATTTTGTTTCTCAAGAGAGGAGAATTTTAATATTTCTGGGAACATTTTGTCAGGAAATGGAAAATTTGGAAATGATTTCACGGCTTTGAGGGTACAGAGCTCAAGACAATAAGCCATTTCAGAAATAAGGCCTGAAATTTTGCCTGTAGAAGAACAAATACTCTGAAGAACAATGTCCAGCGCTTGGCAAAGCAGGTTCCCAGGTATAAAAGAGGCCCTTAAATATTTAAAATGTTGAAATTGGTGTATATATAATTAAAAGAAATAAAAATATAGCCTACTCAAGTATTGCCAGCCTACACAGTCGCCTTAATGCCTTCGGTTTGATATCATCACAAGAACCATTACATATTTTAGTGTATAGATCGATAGAACGCAAACAAAGATCTGTCACCAATGGGACGTCCAAGGACAATTGCGGGAGAGAAGATTCTGGTGAATTGAGAACCGCAAGGAAATCGAAAAACCCTCCAGTTACTTGACATATCCACCAGCACTCTTGGGTATTAGGGGATTTCTGCTAAAAATGACGTAATGGTTGAGGTCAATATATCCCAATGTGATAATATGTAACAGATATGAAATATTTCAAATTTGATCCATAATATTTGTATCTTTTGAAAAAAACTAACTTAGCGACAACAGCATTATACAATTAAAATCCAATTTTACCTAAAGAAGTTATTGGACTAAATATTAAAATAAAAAGCCAATGGAAAGATTGTTAAATAGAGGCTAAGTACAAAAAGCGTAATAAATTACTGAGGAAATTATGCACAAAACTGGATGAAATCCAAATAGTTAAAATGAAACATCATTAAGTAAATATAATCATGATGGTAATTATGCAAAATAAGTGAATTAAAATATATGGAGATTAACGTACTAATTGCAGATAAAGAAAATGAGTAAATCCCGGGATCCTTGATAATAAAAAAGGTTATTTATTTTTTTGACCTATCAATTGAACACCTAAACAGGAATATGGTCATTGTTTGTCTACTCCAATGAAATGCGTCCAAACACAAACTCACTGATGCGAAGGCTATGAAATTACATTTCTACAGGAAGTAAAACATTCCATTATCTTAATAATAAAATTCGCAAAAAAATCATAATTATTATAAATTAGCAAATGAAAGATCAAGCTAATTTTAAAACTGAATTTCCTCGATTTCGTTCACCTTGTCCAACAAAAGATGAAATCTTTCGGGACTATATCAAAAAGGAACAAATGATAAATCGAAGTCCTACTTTCAAATATTTCTCCCACGTCAACTCCCATTGGATTCCACCTCCAGCGAAGACCACAAGTAGGCTACAATTATACGCTAATACACATTCTATTAACTAAGATGCCCCAAAACGAACAAAATCAAGTAAAAATGTTGATGTGAGTCGTTGCCGAAGAAGTAGGAGTTGGAGTCATTCCGAGGAGAAAATTGATAAGAGGGATGAAGAGAAACCACGAAACTGGACGAAATTTGTGAATGATATCGACAGATCCATTGAAAATCTATCACACAGTGTTCGAGGTCTACTTAAGGTATGCTGAAAAGACTCTATGACTTTAAATGATGAACGAGAACTTTCATGGAAATGCCAAAATCAAGCAAATTATATAAAATTTAAATTGCATTTTAGAATACTGAGAATGAGAAAGAAGAGGTTCGTTTCGAGCATACACCTGTGAAGGTAAGCATTGCAAATAAATAGGCAAAGGAGTCATTTCAAGCCAATTTCCTTTTTTAAGGATCAACCAATATACGGTAGAGACAGCGGCGTTTTTCGTCACAGTTCAATAAAGGTAAAAGGAATAATTTATATGATTGATTCACCCTATAATTTGTGACTAAAGTTAATTCTTTTTTTCTCAAAGTAGGAGGCTGTAGCAAATGGAGAAATCGACAGATTAACAAACGAACTACAGCAAACACGTAAGTTGGAGACGTGCAATAATAGTAAACATATTTAGAACACAGTTCCGTAGTAGTGCGCCTGCATTGGAATTAGCTAATAAGATGTACTTAATAAGATAAAAATCATTAAGCTTTTCAAATTATTAATTCGAGTTTCTGATAACAACCGAATTATGACTCCCCCGCACTCGAAGGGAATTCGAGAGAAAGAGAGTGATTAGCCGACATTTTCAGGCTACTGTTAGTAGAAAATGAGGCACTCCTGTAGTACTTACAAGATCACTGTTTCTCGGTGCAGCAGCCAACAAAAAGTTCGAGGTTTTTTGCGAAAGGCAAGGGTGGTTGTGGAGTGCCATATATCAAATTGACAACCACTATATTAACATCGAGTTCCCTGTGAACCTCGTCAACAGTTCGTTTGAAAATGAAGATGTGAGAAGAATTGAATATCCCCCATTCCAATGGACCAAATCTCCCTATTTTGACAAAAAAACTATTTCTCCTCTTCTGTAGCTAAACGTCATTTTGGCCAGTGAATATAATGTCTCAGTTATTAGTAATTAAAATAATATTTACTCAATTTCAGGGGAAGAACTGCACCAATCAGAAACAAGACAGGCTTCTTTAGAAGCCCTTAAATCTCACCTTCAACTCCAGTTGAGACAACGCTCAGCACAATGTGATCGTATTGTAGCACAACTGCAAAATTCAAAATCGAAAACCCACCAAACCGTAGTCAAATTGACTCAACAACTTGCTGACGCTGATGCTAGGATTCAAAAACTCTCCAAACAACACGATCTCCTCAAACATGCAGCGAAGGGACAAAAGAAACGGGCAATTAAAGCTGAAGAAGAAATCGCGAGATTAAGAGATCAGAGTGATGGAAAAGGGAGAGAAGTAAGACTTTTAACTGTTTTATAAGTACTTCATTTATTGTTGTGTTAATAGAATCATAATTATTTAGAGGAATACGGATGACACTGCTAAAGCAATTGCTTACCTTGAGCAGGTAAGTAAAGCGTGGGTGTGCATTTTGTTAATTTTGCATGGTGTCTGGGCGTAAATGCTTATAAAATAACTCATTTGACAGACACCGCACCTACACTTATATACTATCAACAGCTGATAGGTGGAAATTATGCGATGCAAATTAAACATTATTTGAGCAGATATGAAGTCATATTTCCTACCTAATAGGACAATAAACGATTACGCGAATTAGCAGATATTTATGAAGAACGATTAGCGACTACAGAAAAGGAAGTTGAAAAACTTCGAGAACGGCTATCTCAAACGAGTGAAAAAGGCCTAACCGTCAATGATGGACTTGAAAAGGTAAGCCGCTCTCACGATTGTGTACTATACAAATATCCAATATCTCACTTATTCTAGATGTCATCAAACTCCACCCGACCAATTCCACCAATCGTAAGTTATCAGATTTTCTAAAAATATTCGAAAAACGTAGAATAAAGTCGGCAATTAATTTTTCACAAATCCTAGAAAACAAAAAGCGAACCCCAAGGTGATTTGCTCACTCCATCACTGGTATAGGATATTTTTATATAAAATAGCAATTCTCGAAATAAAAAATCAGTAGACTTGATAGTATTTGAATTGCTTTACAGCCACCACTAAACAAGGCGACTGAGATGGAGCTGATAGTTCGTGATCTACAGGAGAAGTTGGCTCAATCTGAGGCGTCAAACAAGAATCTGCAAGCATATCTAGCTTTTCTGAAACACTCTTACACCAGCATATTCGATGAGGATGATGGAAAAAAAGGTGTGCCTGCATCATCGGCAGTCGTTGCTATGGTTGCACCAGAAATCCACACACCTAACGATGCTTCTCCGGGTCTAATTGAATAGGAGTTAATCATTGCATAGGATGTACTAACACTTTATAAAAAAATTCTTTTCCACTATACCAGTTAAATTTTCTATTAGAATGAATATGAGTAAACAAACCGAAGCAAAGTCGAGCAGAGTTCCTATTAGGTCGTACCACCATTCGCAGTCTGTAGACAAAGTCGAGAACCGCCCTTTCTCGAGACAATCGAATTGATGAGTAAGTATGGTATCACAGAGAATGAGAATATTCAGTGTGGTGGAAATGGGGTCTTCCTTTCTCGGTGGGAAGTTTTGTTGGATCATCGCCTTGACAGCATCCATAAAGGGGTGAAAGAGGTTGAAATGCATAGACACGAAAGATCGAAGGAGAGACGTGGCTTGATTGCGCAATGCAGAGAACTTGCTCTCGGACAGAATTTGCAGACATAACTACATGTTTGAAAATAAGCTCCATCACAAAACTTAAAATAAAGCAAATTGAGATAACTGATAATAACTGCAACTCATTGAATGTGTGCTATGTACATGGGCCCAGTTACCAGCACTCAATTTAGAATGAGAACCGCTCGAGGAAAGAACACGCTAGAACTGTGGCCACTTCCTTTCACCATTTGTACTTTTCCAACTTATCTTATGCGTAAGATACTTCTTATTAAAGTCCAGACAGTTAATTGCAAATTCATTTTAGTATCCAAATAAAAAATTTTGACGTTTCTTGCCTTTTAAAGTAAGCGTAAGAATGAGTTTGACAAAACAGAGCTAAAAATGCCTTAGTAACTTAAGCAGACTTTAGTCCACTACATCAACTTTAAACTCATTGCAAATCGAAAGTCGTAATAGAAATTAATACGATCAGTCGAATTATTGATAGCATATTGTTGCCATGACTCTTCACATTAACGATTTGACTGCAAAAATAGTATTTTAATAATTCGAGCAGTATGCGGCGTTTGAGTAAAAACATAACTACCAAATAAGCCACCTCAGCTCTCTACTAGCCACCACCTCTCAAACTCGGGTCAATAGTAAATTACCGAAGTCAAGCAGATTGGACATTTTCGAAATATATATTAGTTTTACTGAGTCGACTTACATCGATAAGCCAGCAGGAGCTTCGCTGGGGCATTTGAAGGCCGTTAAAAATGACCGGATCCAGCTTGGACGTGATCAATGACCGCAATTCGGGAGTTAAGTTCTTCTTATTCAAAATATTGTCCCAAATTGCAAGAATTCTCGCTTGCAAATTGGCAAATTTCGCAGGATCATTTTGGAAATTCTTGAGAAATGCACTCGTTTTGTTCATTAGCCTCGTCAGTAATCCTGGTTGCAATCGATGGTAGGGTGTTACAGCAACAAGAGTGCCAATGGCTTTTAAAAGTCCTAACTGCAAGGGAATTACTCCACGCATATACATACCTGATTTTTGGTGACCTTCTCATTGATAAGTGCGCTGTGAAGACTTTGATGTATTTCCCGCAATTCATTAGCCAATCGAACTGAATACGATATGTAGGAGGCTGAGTCTCTATTTGGCAATTCTTCAGCCACTGTAAATGAAATCTCCAAATTATTCAGTACGGTAATCAGGATGAATATAAACCTCTACAACAAAGGAAAGCAAAAATTTTTAGACCAAACGTGCTAGTTTACACTTATCTTGGCTAGAAATGTAATATGTGCCTAATAAAATAGTTTCAGTAAGATATGAGTAATAAGATGTATTACTGCAAGCCCAGCAAAGTAATCAGCAAATAGGTATAATCACTCCATCTTCCCCAAGTTCAGCAACCAAAATTCATCTTATACATACGGTTTGTGTAAAACTAAACTATTTGGGGTGAAAAGATGTTGATAATCAAGTTAAGACGGCCGCTTGCCTTACACTCTTGAGTTCTTTACTTCTTTATAATCATTTTCATTCTCATATAACTTATAGACTTTGAACTCTGCCATGTTATCCTCTCAATAGAGATCTATTCAAACAACACCTCTTACATAACTTAGAGATAAACTCATCTTATAAGCGATGGCAATTTTTGCCCAATCTATCAAGCTGTTTGAAGCAACACGAGAATAAATATTGACAAGAATAGTGAGTTGACTAGAGTTCATCCTCAGCGATTGCTCATTCAGAGAACAAAGTAGAGAATTAGAAACCTTGAGTCTCGTTAGCGATTTGTGGCAGAACTAAAACCTTCACTATTGAACACAGTGTACCGTGAACCAGCAAGCACATTTCTACTGCAAGTATGGAAGAACACACATATACGACACAGAGAACATGGATCAATAGAAAAGCTAGCATAACGAGCTATTCTCACGTTCCGTGATGTGTCAGAGGTTAGCGGAAATTTTGGCAAGACGATACGCATCGTATCATACAAATCGAATGGTTTGTTGTCCCATTTCACGAAGATCTGTATAATCTAAATATGTCTCCAAAAACAAACTTGGTGTGGATACCTACAGTAGAGACATACCTCCCTAAGACTAGGATCCTGTTCACGTGAAATAGCAAACAACAACGAGGATTGCAGATATTGTTTTTCAGCAAAATTCTTCGACCAAATTTCATGGCAGACTTGTTTTGACCCCAGGAGACATCTCAGACAGTACGTCGCCAAATGACGGGCTTTTTTCTTATTTACAATGACGGGCCTTTCCGTTTCAGCAAAATCTCCACACCATCCATCACTAAGTTCACTTGCTGAGGATGGTCCGTAAGAGCTATTTGAGCCAGATGTGTAGCCTGATGTTTGACGGTTGAGAATAAAGGCGATTGGCCAGATGGCTTTAACCACTCTTGAAATGCAACTTAGAGTCGCTGTTTGTGCTGAATTGCATTGAAGGAATGTTCGATGAACAAGAAGCTGAATCACGGCGTGAAGGCAAGAGATCTCCGTTTTAACCTCCCCTCTATTGTATTCAAAAATGGAAACCAACTTTTCAAGGCACATTTCACCTTGATGACGACCTAAAAAATCGGAATTGAAGGTTGAAGGATCGGTATCTAAAGAGGATTGTCCAGATTTCAAGTCTACAGGACGGAGATACAGAAGACTTGAGAGGGCAGCAGCTACAGCATAGTTATGTTCTGAATTAGGCGGTAGCGTATCAATACTCAGAAAGAGCTCGAGAAGGCGTTTAAATGTCTCTTCTTCAAACAATGGCAGATTACCTAAATTTGAAAACATTAAGGAAAATAAACCGAGATATGGTTTTGTTAACAAAAGTGCAGAGGAACTTAAAGTAGTACTAGGATAAGTCAGTAGAATTACTTTTAGTAGACCAACCAAAATTAAAGCAAAAGATATCTCTTAGGGTCTTTGGCAAAGCGTGCGATAAAATTGAAATACAATCTAGTAAAAAGCGAGACAAGAGGGAAAAATGAAGCAAAAGTCGTGCAAAGGCCAGGGGATGTGATAAAAATGGCGAAATTACTGTACGGTAAGTGAGGAGAAAACATCAGCCCCATTTTAATAAGATAGTCGCGAAATTCTCCACTTCAAATCTAATCTCCCACTAGAAAGCGTTAAATCGACATTTACACAATTTCCTATCAGACGATAAAATTAAAATTAACTTGCCTTCAATAGTAATCCCCCCATTTTTATTAAATAAATCAACATATTTTGACGTCAAAAATATACGAAATGTACTGAGCAATGTTTTGTAAGTTTACCTAAACTATCTTCAGTGAGAAATATCGCGACAATAGCTATAAGCCAAGACGAATCTAAATTTTTAAACGACGAAAGTTCATCGGATGAAATTCAGGGAATATTTGCCAATGATGCACTGGAAGACAGATAAGAAAAAATCGAATATTGGCTAAGTCTTGAAAAAGAATGCACTAAATTTATTACATGGGCAATAGATTACTTGATAACTGATCTCACACGATCCTACTGACTGATGAAAATTTTCACAACTATGCTATGGGCGGAAAGTGGCTAATCAATATTCTGCATGAGAATTATAAATAAACTATTGTACCTTATTAGGTAAAAAGAAAAAACTGCCGGCTTTTACCTAACTCCTTCTTAATTTAAGAGACTGTTACCCAACCTATTTAACGGACTCTTTGATGTAAATGCAAATGGATTGTTGAAATAGTGATAATATAGCATTATATTAAACTACTGCTGCCATTACAAATTAAAGCAATTATCTTTAAATAAATGGGTTTCTAACAGCATTTACTGACAACAAAACTAAGCGATCCTCAGAATACATCCGGAAGTTACAATATCGTAGGTCATCTATTCATAAAAGAAATGCATACAGTAATATAGTAAACCAAAACATAAACACGTACAACGTTTAATAGGCGAACTTTCACACTCAAAAATAATAGGCATTATTAAAAATAGACAGAAAACTTACCCCTAATGACGCCACAAACTAAGAATGACAAGCGAGAATATCCCAAACACTGCTGAGTATTAGCTTCAATTAAATGATTGATAATGGTTTTAAAGAAATGTTTCGATTTGGTCACATCGAAATCTGGCAGTAGTAGTGAAGAGTAGAAGGAAGGAAAACGTTTTTCATTAACAAGAGCCGTAATAACTTCTAAACTGAAGTTATTTGCAGGCAAAGCGCGTATAAGAGCTGGCCACGTTAATGGTTGGAATTGCTTGCGTTGCATTATCTATAAATGTTGAAGAATGGAACGAATTAATTATCTAGACTTCTATATTCTAAAATACATTTCGTATTTATAAAAAATATTTCGATAATAGATAGTCTAAGGATAAAACAGTAACTCATTTTGAAGCTATCAAATTGAAATTTATTATCTACCTATTAGTTGGGAAATAAACAAAAAACTATAAGAAAAGTAATGTAAACACGAGATCACGAATACTTATCCAACCCCAGCAACACCAAATCATGATTCGTTGTTTCCACTTAAGCGCAAAAATTAATCATAACCTTGAAAGTAAAGTTAAATCATTATTTAATTGCAAAAAATAAAATTCTACAACAAACTCTCTTTTTATATCTCAATCATTTAAGTCGACTAGCTGTTATGCAAAAATACCGACTGTATGAATATAATTAATTACTTTCAAATTGATGACTACTATCAATTACCCTATTTGCAATGTAAGTACTTTTTCTTGTTGTTGCTTAACTTAATATAATCTAACCATTAGTTTTCAATCAGATTAATCATAGCCTTCCTCCAAAATCGGCATAAGTCAAGCAATCTAAATTAACGCAAACATTCTCCTCTATGATTACCCGGAGTATTTTAAGATGATAAAGTTGTGAATAACAATGGTTTTGTAATCTCTGTTTATGCGCTGAGTACAACAAATAGATAAGATTTGAAATAAATGGTAGGCGGGTAGTTAATAAATTGTAATAAAGGTAACTCTCAGCTAAAAACCTTTCAGAATTAGCAGAACTAATTAATATTAAATATAAATAATTCAAAAAAATATCTTGAACAAAATAGAGTAACTCAGACAAAACGAAGCACATAAAAATTAGCCTTATAAATAAAAATATTTGAGTAATATGACTCAATATATTAACATAAGAATAGTTTTCACTGATACCTAATCGAGCTTAAAATTATTGAACCACCTCTACAAGTTACTGAGCAACCGCCACATATAACGGTCCTTCACGTTACTTTGATCAGCCTAATCCTGTAATAGATAAATCGAAGGGAAAACGATTTGTGTTACACTTCATCATTGACCAATAGAAATCCTGCTTTCTCAGAGATATTTAGCTATTAATGTTCACGCGAATTATGCTAGATTTATCTCCTAACTAATCGCTTTGCCAACATTACACTTCGCTATTAATATACGTACCGAATAAACGTATTCCGTCCTGGGCTATAGCTTAGCTTGTTCTGGGAGTCTAGCTAGATGTTGGAGAATCTGCCATAGAGATTTCTGAGTCGGTCAGGCTTTACTAGCGTAGCGATCCGCTACAGATTACATGCAGATTTATTCAGAAGCTATAGTTAAAAGATTAGCAGAATGAACTTAACATATACGTGGTAAACTAGCACAAGCTCACATAAAAAAATAATAAATGAAAGTATAAAATTATAAATCCTTTTAATAAAACGATCCCTATTATTATTTAACAATCTAATTGGAAAGATATAAAAACGACTATGTATTTACAAGCATATAAACAAGTAGTCAATATCCCACTATACTATTATTAGATTTTTCACTTACTCACTTTCAATTTCGGATTGGTTTCGTATGGAATGCATATGATGATTAAAATATATAATAAATGAAACAAAACAAAAGAAATAATGCCATAATAATAGCAAGCACACAAACCATATTTGCCATAGCATAAAGAACAGAAAATTTCTGAACACATAAAACAGGTTTCAAATCTAATTTGTGTACAATTTTCAAAAAAAATTTTAAACAAATACTGTTTCTTAATTGATGCTTTCTAATGCTATAGAGACAGTATCTTCATTAGGAGAGAGAGTAATAACCAACACAAGGAACTGATACTTCTGGCTCTGGCTTATTGATAAACAGTGCAGGTACTTAATTACTGCAGATGAGCTAGTTTTGCCGGAATAAAGTCGTGTTACCTTCAATACTAAATTTAATATAACTGAGATTGTCATTGGGGGTGGACCATAATTACAGTTCTGAGGTCTTGAAAAGATGGAGAGAGTAAATTTCCTTCAAATTTGTAATAATTTTGCTTGAAAAATATGATTGTTATGGTAAGGTGGATTAAAATGCAATGGTATTTTAGCTATTTGACCAATGATTTTAATTTTCATGTGAGACCTTGCACCAACTTTTATATACCATCAAAACGAAATTCGTCCAGGTGCACCAAAAATGAACAAGTTGATATCTCGTATAAAAGGATCCATACCAGAAAGAAAAGAGAGACAAATTCTCCGTCAAAGGGCCGAACCGGAAGCTTGCTGTTTACACTATTGAACTTCGGCCCAGTAGATTGGAATAGGTTGAGCTGACCATTGGTGCCCACCTTGTATGTAGTATAATACGAATTAACGGGATAACAGACTAAATGACAAATGGCGTTTGCGTTCGGCGCCCCATAATCTATCATGGAGATGATGTGTAAGTGATACCTTGAAGACTCTGTAGAGAATTGCTACATGAATAAGCCTTGGTTTCTCTAAAGCAAAATCCACACCCCCCTCCCCCCCAGTATGGAATGGTGTCCTAAATTTGTAAAGTCGCCCCATGACTTGTAGGAAGCGCACGTATGACTCGGAATACAAATATTTGTGCTGTGTATTCTATGGTACAACTCCTCCACAGGCGAGATTGGCACAATAATACTATTTTGGGTACGTTAACGCCGCAATGACTGTTGAATATTTATCAGTGGAAGAGCCTCAGTGCTCACAACCTCATTTGCCCCGAACCCAGTGGCACTTTCACAATTCTCGAGCGCGCATGAGATAGCTTATTTTGATCATGTTAGTTTTATGTGCTGCTCATCATTACATTGATATTCCATTACAAAGTAAATACCTTCTAACCAATGGTTGTTATAATGGGACTCGTTGGAGCTGAGGAGGTAAATGGAGTTACATTGTAGTGGTTTACAGTATTCCCTTTTTTTAAACTTCATGTGATAAATTTTTTAAGTGCGAACTATGTGGGTGTTCGTTGTCACGGAATTTCTCACTCAAAACCAATATGAAGAGGACCCATAAAAGTTTAAAATTTAATTAGAACGGTCTAATGGAATAACCTTATAATAAGGTTATAAAAATTTTTATTCGATTTATTAAACTAAATCTTTAGGCATCAAAACTAGCTCATGTACCTAATAATGCATAAATTATACCGATACGCTTATGATCCAATGTAAAATTTAATAACGTATGTTAGAAATATTCGTAATCATAAGATGAACGAACAATCTCTAAATATTTCGAAAACATTAAGTCTAAAATAACTCCATCTCATTTACTCTTAAGAAGAAAGTTAACTATAAACTAGCAAAAAATTATTAGAAGCAATTTTATACATTTATTCAATTTGTTGCGGATTGCTACACTAATAAACCTTGGCTATACTCAGAAAGCTCTATGGCTAATTATCCTTTGTTTAGAAAGATTCCCAGAACTAGCTAAACAACCTCAAAGCTAAAGAGGCAACAGACGGATCTCACATAACACATTAATTGGGGACATGTGTGCGTGTGTGTGGTGTATGTACAGATAAGGAGTTTAAACATTATATCAATATGTCGGATTTAATAAACCACGCGAGGACTATTGATTGGCGGTTGGCTGTGTGTTCTCCGTAATTCACGCAGCGCTTACTCCCTATGTAAGGTTCTTCAGACGCATCTACAAGCCATTCCGGGCACGTGAGATTACTTGTTCAGCGGTGAAAAGTTATGTGCCTCAGAGTATTGAAATAAGTAATTATGGTAATAATAGGAATTCAAAGAATGTAATGCCATGCCTGAGAGATTCTACAATACCAATGCGACCCTAATTGGTTCCGTCATAATATTATTAGTAATGAACTGTCTTTCGAAATTACAAATGTTTGTATTCAACATTATTATTTCAAATGGCAGGCTTTGTGATATTTATCATTAACCCTTAAACTTTGACTTCAGCTTCCCCCAAGCGTGGGGGGGGGGTACATTTATAGCAGTTAATTAATAGAGGATCTTTTTGTCCGGTGACATTCCTCCAGCATTCCACTGCTGTACTTGGATCTTTTTGTCCGGTGACATTCCTCCAGCATTCCACTGGAGGATCTCAAGACGTTGTGATTCGCCCTGACGAGGGCGATTTCTCTGATAGCCTTTTTCCAAGCTAATCATAATAAATCGAAGTCAAATCAAGTGCCGAGTGATAGACTTTTTGCCGTACGAAGAAAAGTTGTTCAGGGTGCACCAAGTGGAGGTAAGTCTATCGTGCACCCCATAAAGTCAGCATCACCGGGTATTTTCAGCCGGTCACCCATGCAAGTACTAACCCGGCCCGACGTAGTTTAACTTCGGTGATCGGACGAGAACCGGTGCTTTCTACGTGGTATGGTCGCTGACATGTATTCAGCATAAAAAGCAAACAAAATAAATCAGTTGTCATTATGTTTTAAATTATATTTTATATAGTTTATTAATATAGAAGTAAATATAATGTGTCATATAACTAGTTTAATCATATTTACTTATGATATTATGATGCAAGATCCTTCATTTAAATTTCTCTGTGTGGTTGCCTTAATTTGAATTGAAGGCCGTGATTATGGGTAGGAACCTTGGCTTGTGGTTTTATTTTATTTTATTTTATTTGGGCGATTTCATGTTTTAATGTTACAAATATCTGTAATAGTCTTTAAAGATAAAATGAACTTGTGCTATTACCCCTTTTCATCTAGACTAATTCGCATGCTTAGTTTTAACCCATTCGATTCTAATAGAAATATCTTTTCTTGTTAGTAGATTTAATTGAGTTTTCTTGCGGAGAATGTGGACAGATTTTTGAGACTTCAAGTAGTCTACAAACTCATGTCGATACGAAACACGAAGGTACATTTTTCTTACTTTGCCCTGTAGATGAAATAAAATCCATTGATGTCATTTGTTCATAATTTACCGTTTGTTATAAAAATCTGAGGATTTATATGATTTATTTCTAGATCTAGCAGTTTTGAATGATTGTGAGCAATCCGGTTCTGGTCTAACTAACGAAAATATTGGACCATCGTCGAATCAAGGTAATAACGAATGTTAATTAGTTGCCATTCAAGGTAACTTTTGCGCCTTCAATATTGTCTCTTTCATGCTATATATTTTAGGTAATGATCTTATTTCACATGATTTACTCGCGAGTCATTCCCTCAATTCCTCGACCAATGAATTAGCTAGGCCATCACTCAACTCCGGTATGTAGTATTTATTGCCACTTTTAGAAGAAAATTATTCGTGGTGTAGTAGCACTAATGAGACTTTGCTGTATTAAACTTACAGATTCCAATGGTTTCTATTGTAAGGAGTGCGACAGATCTTTTGGCAATAATCACGGACTCCTTATCCATAATGGCCGCTACCATAAAAGTGAGCGTTTTTGTTATCGTACCTTATTACCTGTTTCTCATTCATTATTTAACTTGGTTGTATTCTCACTAATGAGCTTGGAGACTTTGAAGTATGTCAAATGAATATGGATAAATATATAGGCCTAAGGAATGAAGGAGCAAAGTTTGGGCTTTCCAGTATTTCAGTATCGCTGCTGCTGTTGTATTTGTAGGATTCTATTTTTTCGCTTAAAGTTACGATATCACTAGAGAGGATGGTTTTAGAGTGCTATTTTATTATAGCATATTATTCACTTCGGAGTCTGGCGTTCATACTTCCTCTTATTCTAGTAATACCTTCCAAGTGCATTGAATCAATTTGACTGTGAGAGGTTAGCTGAGAATTTTGCATCTTCCGGTCATACTAATGATCAAAGTAGTCAAGATGTTAGTGAAAATAAGTTAGAATTATGCTAAAGGTTTTATTTTTGTTTTAGAATAGGATCTTTAAACTCATGAACTGAGTATATATTCAGCAAAGCTTAAGATGACTTGAGTAGTCGATTGTAGAGCATGTTTCAAATAACCAGTATAACTTTTGTTACTTGTTTCATTTAGAACATGAGGTGGCACAACGAATTGATAATGACCACTCCGTTACTGCGGTAAAATCTACTAAATCCAAGGCAGATTACGGTATGTTAGCCCAAGGGGAGTTGAGCTTAATTTGTTATTTGTGTGAAGTAGGTAAATCCTTTTTTTTGCCTTTTATTCTAGTAAAAAGAACTTTCTCTTGTGAACAGTGCGGAAAAAATTACGACACTTACCATGGCCTTTTAATTCACAATGGACGTCACCATAAAGGTGAATATTAAGTTTAATTTTTCTATCTGCTTTGAAATGTATATTTTGTTCTTTACAGTTAAATATATTTCGTATTATTATATTATATCTCATTGCAAGGCCCTCAGTTTTAAAATTTTGTTTGAGTTATTGGAAACCAGCTGAAATCAGATAAAATGTCCAATGAATGATAGAGAGAGATGAAAAGATGTTGAGGGTGAATTCAAGGTATCGAAGAATCTTATGTCGTTGGTGAGATTGTGTTGTCCACGTTTGGAAATTGAAATCATTTAATTTTCCATCAATTTCGTTGCGTCAGTCTATTTTTGTCACGAAAGGTTGGGAGAGCGGAATATTTTTTATGTAACAGAGGAGAGATAGTCAAAATTGGTCCTTTATATACATAGAGCCTAATAGTCTTTGCTCATTAACAATGAACGATATAGCACTTCAGTAAGCTCATCCTTATTTTCTCCCCTTTCCAGATACTACAACAAGTACTCGTAGACGAAGACTAACTTGTCCCCCAAATCTTATGAATAAAGGAAAAATCGATAATGAAGGTTTGTCTATTGGAATAATAAACACAAATGAGTATATTGATTTCTATTATAGTAGATAATTATTTTTAATACTTGTTCCTTTTAGAAAGTGGACTTTTCTCCTGCTATGATTGTTCGAAGTCGTTTAATTCGTTTATTGATTTCATAGCGCACGCCAATCTGTATCACTCAGGTAATTGTTTTAAATTGCATTCATATGGTTTACTCATCTTATCTTGAGCAGAATTCAAATAAGAGTTAAAGGGCATACTCTATTGCTTCGACTATTTAATAAAAATGTGTGGTGTTGGCATTGTACTAGTGGAAGCATGCATTCTAAGTCCTGAATGTTGTGGTGAAATATTCTCTGTAATTTATGTCCTATACTGTTAGGCTGATCTTAACCTTGAAGTCTTGTAAGAGCAAGTGGCTGAGATATCTCCTTCCAGGGTCTATCGTCTGTTGTCTCCCTTTCTTCCCTACAATGCCGGAATACGTCCAAGTAGAGAGTTGCACTCAGTGGCTTCATTTCCAGTGCTTGTTGCATGAAATTTTAATGGCCTGCAGTGAAGGGGAAATGCTTAAATTGATGGTTGTATTGGTGAAGAATGCACTTTTGTGCCAAACAGAAGGAGTTGAGGCGGAGGAGGAGGAGGTGGGATTCATGACTGGAGCCATGGGAGTATTCCTAATCCACTTTGGGTCAATGTGTCTGGTATTGATCTAATAGGTATTTGGAATTGAGTTTTGATTTCATTGGTATTTTCCAGTGGGTAGAAGTATGGGGTGTATTCCTAAGTGCTTGGACTGGACGTAACGGAGATAGGTAGTGTCACAGATAATTAAGTGGAAAGATGGCAAATTCCACTATGTCAAGAAGTAAGGGATACAGAAACTATTAGAAATGTGCTCCTATTTGTTCTTTTTCTACATTGGTCAATACTTGTCATGTTTGATTGAATGACCATATCGATTTTATTTTACGGAGATTTTTGTCATATCACTTGTAGTTGGTTCAATGCACGTATCCAAACCTGAAGATGTGTGTGTGTGTGTGTGTGTGTGTGTGTGTGTGTGTGTGTGTGTGTGTGTGTGTGTGTG